CGCCAACTTCCGCCTCGGCGCGTGCCTGCCGCCCGTGTGTGTCTGTGTCCGTATGCCGGCGTGGTGTGCGTGCGTGGGCGGTGTTGGGCGCACGGCCGGCGCCCTGCGGGACGTCGCGACCGACGCCCGGCGCCGCGGGCCGACATCTCGTCGAACCATGGCTTTACCGGCCCAGCGGGCCGCGTCCAGCGCCGCCGCGCGTCGTATTTATGTAACCAGGGCTCAACGGCGGCGCGCCACCTCCCGTCCCGCGCACCTCGCGCCTTTCTCCTAAGCTTCCTCCACCTCACACGCGCAAGCTCCGGGGGCAGGCCGCCAGCCGGCCCGCGCGGGCGGCCGGGTGTTTTGTGCTTCTATCCATTCCGTGTCTGACGCCTGTCGCCCGCTATTTGTCCGCCCCGCGCGCCGTACGGCCGCCGCCGTCGGCCCCTCGCCGGGTCAGACGTCCGGACTGGGACCGCACACCACACCATAGCCTTTACGATGGGAAGTGTACGCTCTTACTGCCAACGTCCGGCTTCTGACCTGGCTTCCCAACTCGCTCCCTCTCTTTCTCTGTACTTTGTAGCTTCCTTCCCCTCCTGCTTTGCCCACCCACTGTGCTCCACTCGATTGCCTCCGGTTGGCGTTTGCACGTGGCGCGTCGCCTGTTGCTGCAGTACCCTCCGCTGCCGACACCTCCGCCGGATCTTGCAGCCAACACTGATACCATAATGGGATAGCACGTTGTGCGTTTGATCTTTCTGTGGGCGCCAGTAGGCCTTTGCCATTTCGGTCGGCTCTGGGGTTTCATGGCGAACCAAGACGGGACTCTTCCCGCGTTTTGTACGGTATGCTTTGGGCCTTTTCGTAAGATATGGACGTTGGATGCTGCTGGGGTGAGTGTTATACATAATGTGCGCGTTTTTAATACGAACTATACGCCCTGCCATTCTGCTAAACAATGGGTCTGGCTTTCCTTTTGGGAGCGTAGGAGCATCGCTCGTTGTCGCTATGTCCATGGGTGTCGTTCCGGCTTTGGCGCGACCCGCGCTGTACGTAGGACCATTTTTAGCATTGATTAGCATTGACTGCGGTGTGGCGGGCCGCGGCCAGCCACTGTCAGTGTGTGTGTAGAGCATCTGATTGGCTGACATGCGCGCCGCTCGTGTCGCGAGCTTTGTCGTGGGCCGCCGCCACAACACTGCGTGCGTGTGAGGGTGTGTGTAGTGGTTGTTGTTTAGTTGCGTATCTGGCGCGCCGGCGGGCGGAAAGCCGCGCCGCGCCGGACTGTCCGCGTTATGCGCCGTCCGTCGACACCACAACGTACCTGTACAGAGTGCGGGCCGCTGTCCTCTGCCGCCGCCGCCGCCAATCGCGTACCGAGGGTTGCGAGCGCCGCGGCGCCGACGGCGCGTGTGTGAGCTGCGCCCCAGCCGGCGGCGCCGCTGCGTCTCGCTCGTAGTGGCCTGTGTGGGCCGGCGCGGCGTAGTGCGCGTGTCTGGTGCGCGCCCCGGCAGCCCGGCAGACGCTCGCCGCCGTCGAGCCGCGGACATATCAGCAGCCGTCTCAGCACATATCCTGCAGTAATATCTCGCCCGCCGCGAGAGAAAGGCAATAGTTGTTTCGGTCGGCAGGCGGGCCGTTCCGGCAGACGCCGGACGCCGGCCGGCCGGCCGCAGTCCACGCCAGTCCCGACCTGTTCCGATCTCATTGACATATCGCTGGACGGCGCCCTGAGACGGTGCGTGGAGAGGCGGCCGTTGTTCCGGCCAGCGGCTGCCGGGGCCAGCACGGTAGAGTGGCACTCGCTGTAGTCCAGCTCAATAAACGGCATAGAGCCGAGTCTTATCTGTTTTGGGCAGTATCGCGCACTGCGGTGCCATGTGACCTGACGGGTAAGCCGGCTACTGGGGTGCTGGACGATCAGGCCTTGTCCCAATTGGGTGACGTGAGCCGTCCGTGTAAGGCGCCTACGCTCTAGGACGTCCGGGCCACACGCTTGGTATGCGGTTAACGGTAAGGGCATCGTCGAAGTCTGATTGATGACGATGCGACCCAGTCGGGGTGCAACACCGGGCACTGGTGGGCATCGAACATCCTGCGTCACACGCGGATGCATGGGAAAAACTAATGGCATACACCCGACTATTGGTGGCTGGCCATTGCAATAGCAGGAGGGCTCCAGGCAGCAAAATGCAAACAAGCCGTCAAGCCGAGCTTTTAAGGAGCAGTGAATCGGGGGGAGGACCAGGGTGTGGGTTAACTGTAGGCGTCATAATTTGGTCTATAAAATGCGTACGGGGACACATGGTCCGTTTTCACAGCACACACTTGGTCACATGTTAAACTGCCTGACGGTCAACATGTTTTCAATATGTGAGGCTGGATATGGGCGTGCAAAATTCGCGTCATTAATGACTCCTGGTCTCGGTACTTGCGACTCGTGACTTTTGAAGGCGTGCGTCGGATTACGTACATTACGCGCTTTGGCATGCTTGGCGTTTGGAGCACTTGCCATTGCTATCTCTCAATTACCATGTACTATCTGTTCTCGTTAGATCGGGATTTGGGCACACCCGTGCAGAAAAATGAGCTCGCAATTTATCAATCTTTTTAGCTTCTCTCAAGTTAACGCGCTCAGGTGGGGGGCTAAATTCACCCGTCCCCCCCCCCCGAAGGTTTTTCCGGAATGGTTTCCGAACGGCGCGGTGCAGCCGCGCCAAATTTTGCATAGATGTAGACAATTGAATAGCGGATTGTTTGGCGTAAAAATTACATGCACATTGTAAGGTCGCTGACCTATGGTAGGCCAAAGACAGGCCATGGTTTCAGGGAAGGTAATTTCTAGAGAATCGTTCAATCTGACACAACAACGGAGTGTTTGACGAAGCCATACATCTATGAGATGCTTTCATAGGCACCACAAATATTGAATGAGAAAATTACGTTGACCTATGGCCAGGTATGAAGGTCAGACCAAGGTCAAAACCAACCCGATTTACTACTTTAGGGCTTGCTGTATGGGATTATTTCTGGTGCTCATTTCCCCGAATGATCGAATGTGCCCGAGCAGGTTAACACGCATCCGAGTGGCCAGCTAGATACCCTTTGCTCGGGTGGGGGTCAATTTGACCCCTCTGAGATCTCGAGAACTAAGAAAGATAGAGACACCAAATTTCCAGGGCCTGGAAACCTGTACGTGAATTCCCTTCGGTCAAAGTTTGAGGTTCCTAGGTCATGACCTTTGGGTCAAATAAGGTTAAACAAGGTCATCTTCCAGGTTGGTCTCCAAAGTGCCCCCAGAACTTAGACAACTGTTTTTAAGCAAAATATCATGCTCGTTCAAGGTCAGTGACCTTGTTCGACCTTTTGGGGGTCATGGTGACAAAATCACACAAGATCGCTCGGAGTTTTGCATTTGAATAAGCGACAAAGATTAGGCTGGGCAGTACGTTTCTAAAAACAAAACGTTGAACTGGGTCATTTCAGGTCAGTGACGCATTGTGACCTCTAAGAACTCCATGGATGATGTATGCGGTTCCTGCCATAAATAAATTCGAAGTAAGCACCAGAAACTATCCCATACAGTAAGCCCTAGAGCAAAAATACAAGTTGATTTTGACCATGGCCTGGCCTTTATATCTGACCTCGGGTCAACGTCATTTGCTCATTCAATATTTGTGTCACCCATGTGAGATATGGGCCACCACTTTTTGCCTGGCAGAAATTGAAAAGCTTGCCAGATATTGTCCCATTTTACAGGTAAACTTGCTATCCTGAACTAAAATGACGCGCTCCGCATTTACGCCTTACGGGGCTCACACCTCACTGCCTCCATTAGGGCAAGCCAGCCCTGCGTCGACCCCTCCAACGTCCCTTGTAAGGCTACAAGAAGTGCATTCCAACATCTCCATGCGCGTCCCAGGGTGCTGCAAGCCCGCCTGGGCCGCCGGTTCTCATCTCCGCCCTACACTGCTGTTGTATGCTGCTCTCTTTTACACAGACCGTTTCTAAGCACTTCTTGCTAGAGTTCTCCGGGATAAATCACTGGTGAATGGGTTACCCCGTCCCTTTGTCAGGGGCAGACTGGTAACGCATTTCAGCAATAAGTGCGTAGCTCTGGTGCAAATCAACGCATTTCACTGGTGAACATCTTTTTTTGAGTGTCCTAGTTCTTAAAAAAATCAGTTTATGCAAATATTTACACTAAAGCAAGCCCGCAAAAACGTTTTCAGGAGGCCGTGGCATTGGCACCATATGACTTAGTCCCGGGATGACGTCATAGCATCACTACCCAGAATGCAGTAATGCGGGGGGGGGGGGGGGGAGGCTTGTGCGCAACGAAGAGCGTTAAGGACTGCGCACAACAACTAAGCGAGCTTTCAGTGGGCAGCTAATGCCGTGGAATTAGCTGAGGTGTTGGAGAATTCTTCAGAATAATGTCCAGTACTGCCAACACGGATGATTACCGCAAATACTGATTAATGCCGAGGGTGAATTCCAGATAATGTTTCGAACATGGTCAATATGATTTTTTTCACCATGCTTATCTCTGGCCGCTCGCTATGCATGACGCATGTGAGACAGAACTGGACGATGATTTCCAGACCTGCCGAACGTAAATAGAGGATCTTTATGCATGATCATCACAAAAATAGTTGCATAAATTCCCTCAGCCGAACGTACCCTGGATAGCAACACGAAGTAACAACAAATGTCGGGCGTTTCCGGCATTTTTGGGGTTCCGTTGAACAACTTTGACCTGTGCCCCTCTTATCACCAAATACCGCGCACACCCTGCACCTCTGTCTATTATGCACATCTGCATCAATTTACGCGAAAAAATCACTCCGATCATTCCTGATCATTCATGGTCATTTCTCGGCCACGTACGTCGAACGCACCCTTATTTGAAGCCGTAAATGGCGCCTCTGTTGCAAAATACGGCTTGTTAAGTCCGTTGCACCACTGCGCGGTTCGTCCAGGAAGTTTGTGTCCGTGCCATTACCTTAGGGCCTTAGTTTGTAGGCCTTTGACCATTTCCACTGTGGGCGCAACGTTGCAGTTTGCAATCTCCCGTATTTGTACATGTGATGCATTATTATGACTGTTTGCACTCTGTCCGTAGTAGATGCCGGTCGAATCAGTCGAGCATTTGCACCATCCATGGGGGATGGGGGACAACGATGTTCATTGACAATAGTCTTGTATCCCTTTGAATGTATTTTTAGCCTGGTATATGTGTTAGGAGGAAAAGTTGTAGACCTGTCCCAGTTTCAGTGTTGTTTTTGATGATTTACTGAAAGTCAGTACAATTTTGTGTGTTGCCTGCTGTTTTTCTACTTTGGTCACTAAACCTTCCCTTTACTCTTGTCACCCCATAAAAATGCTCCTTGCTGAGTGTTGCACCATTATGGTTAGAATGTGCCCCAAGCTGGTGTATCTGCTTGCAAAGCTCCAATTCCAGTCTTGTCTCAAGAATATCATTTTCACCCTCATCTGACTGTTTTTTTTCTTGAAGCATGTTTATGACCTGACTTATCATGCAAACAAAGGGTGTGGAAATGGCCACATGTGCACTAAGAATATATTTATGGCATAAGAATAGCTTTGAAAAGTCTGTGCTGCTAATGTTTCCCTGTTGCAGGAAAAGAGTAGCCACAAGTGTAAGGGCTGCATAACTGCAAGTTTTCAAGGATTTCAATGGCAGAGTTGAACCCTCTCAGCATAATTTTGGTAGAAAATGGCAGCAAGGGAGATCGCCTTCTGTTCCGCTATCCCTATGCAGATGAGCCAACTGCCCAGGTGACAAAAAGTAAGGCATGCAACATTCTTTGCTTTGCTTCCTATCATGCTATGCATTTTATTTTCTTCTTCAAAGTTAGGTAACAGAAACACCAGTTTATGATTTAAGGCAATTAATGAAATGGCAGGACTTGTGCTCACCTGAAATATATGAAATGTTGAGAAAAATCATACAAATGTTGAAATGTCATAACTTTGTATCTTCTCTTGTAGTCACTGCAAACAATTCCTGTTCAAATCCCTGCAAAAGTTATATTAGATGTAGTTAAGTTAGAAGTAGTTAAGTAGTTAAATAGCTATGCCATGTTCAGTTGTGGGTAGATTACATATTCAAATGTTCCACCTTATGGCATTGTTGTAAAGCAGGGGCACATCTGCATTGCATTATATTGCATATGCTGCCAAAATGTTGCCATTTCAGGAGCACAGGGGGTGGCAAGACAAGGTCCACAGGTGATCTGTAAGAAGTATGCCACAGCAAATTGTTATGCTCAGATGCACTGTCAGATTGCTGCCCCCAAAACCTGACATTTGGCTAAAAAATATTCTGATCATCAAACAATTTGAACAGTTATTTACCATTTCACAAGAATGCTTCATATTGTTAAGAGCCAGTGTAAAGGTATGGAAAGAGAGCAGCATGCTCATGCTGGTTTTATTGCTGAAATAATGCATGCTCACAGATAACCATTGACATTCTCACATTGAAATAGTTGTCCTGGGTGGGCTGAGTAACTGGGCTAGGTGGAGAGATCTGATGCAAGGATCAATCTGGCACTTAATTTTGCCTTATCAGGGATATTATGAAACATTGATTTGGCTTGATTTTGCAGTCTATGATGGAGGGAAACAAAAGGTCATTCCAGGACCAGGCACTAATGCTCTGTTGGACAAGCTAGGTGATAACATGTGAGTTATCCATGAATGACACATGATAATGGCAAAACATGAGGTCATCAAGCTGGAAATCTTGTGAGCCCATATTAAGGGGCTTACTCAAGCCACTGAAGCTCAGTATTTGATGGAAATTTTGTAGACTAAGGTTCAATAATGTAGCATGCAGAATTTTTCATTCTGATAGCTCAGTCTGCCTTCTGATCCTTTCACAGTGGTGGGTAGGTTCAGGTTGCTTTAGGTGCTTGTTATTTGGCCTTGCCAGGCATGGCTTGCCACCAGTGGCTAGGACCACATCAAAGGGCAGGACGGACAGTGCCAAGCATTGTGGTATGCTAAACTTTTGCCTCCAAACTGCCATTGGGCTAGTGTTGTGCAATCTGATGGTAAGAGTCGGGCTCCCACAGCAAGGTCTACTTAGCATGAGCTGTAATCCCAAAAGCCCATATGTTTAAAACATTTGGATAAGATGCTTTTAAAAATAACACACTCATTTTATAAATAAAGTTGGTCAAAAATTGCCTGGCTGTGCATCAGGCCATACCTGGCAATTTCACCAAATGACATTGATGGCTTTGTAAGGATTCTTCTTTTCAGTAGCTGTTATCAAATATTGCACCTGAAAGCAGTTAAGGTAGACATTTGTCACAATGCAGTACACTGCCATTACATGCATGTGTAGTTTTCATGACTCAATATATCCCCGCTTTTGACCGCTAAGCATGAAATTCGAGCAGAGGCATTTGCAGGATTTCACAACAGGGGATGCAACTAAAATTTCTGACTAAAAACTGCACTTCAGCACGTCACATGCGGCTGATATTCTTGTGTGCCATGTGAGAACATTGTATGCTTTCAATGTTTTTAAACTGAGATGTCTTCTTTGACCATCGGGTTGTTGACATTGATTGCACATGCATATTAAGACAGGTAAACCTTTGACGCTAAAGCTTTGATGATAGGGCACATGCTTGAACGCAATGGAGGGTATGCTCCCACATTGAATACGCACCTGTATTCGAGGCCACTTTTGGAAAATGTGCCATTGGCCGCTGGCTGGTGGATTACTGACACGCATATGGGTTGTATAGATTAAATATCGCTTTATGACTTTGAATTGGCACATTGGCGGTGGCGTGGTCAGAATTTCGCCTCGGAGAGACCGAGTCCGGTCATGCTGGGGCCGTTGGGTCAGTGGCTCCTAGTCACTATAGGGTCCTGTTTTTTTATTCAGAGGACGCATTTTAGGCTCTGGTCCTATTTTCACAACTTCAGGCCAGTTTTTATGCGTTTGAAGCCCTACAAGCGCCTTTAGCTGGCAGAAGGTATTGGCGCCCTTAGCGTCAGAGGAACCGAACCCCCACCACGACCACGCGGGGGGAGAGGACTCCAGAATCTCCCACCGTGGCTACGCCACTGCACATTGGCGTGCAACATGCAGATAATATCAAGTATTTGTCTTCTCCGGTTGTAGACATGTTACAATTGTCCGTAACCACGTTTCTGCGGGCCGCTTCATGCTGTGCGTTCAAGGGTGCGTGACCACCTGCGCACCCCGACCGTAACCACCTGCGCACCCCGACCGTAACCACCTGCGCACCCCGACCGTAACCACCTGCGCGCCCCGACCGTAACCACCTGCGCGCCCCGACCGTAACCACCTGCGCGCCCCGACCGTGCGTGCTGATCCGATGGTATGGTCTCTCTTCAGTCAAAATGTGGCGATTGCGTATCACTTGCGCGTTGAGCCATCAGAATCTAGGCTGGCTTTGACTCCTGTTGTACATCGCTTTTGCTGGTAGATATTTGGTGTTTTTCATTTTAATCGAATAGGAAGTATAGATTTGAAATAAACCGCAATATAGATCACCCCAGGCTAGCAGGTTATACGGAATCGCTTGCGTATTTCTCCAGGAAGATCTCTTAAGCAATTCTATTTGTTGCTGCTGAAAGTTGAAAATTGCACGAGTCCGCGAGCATTGTTGGACAAGTTATTTGCTTATAAAGCGTGTAAGACCGCAGCGGATTACGTTTGCTGTGAAGACGGACACACGAAACCTTGGTATCATGCTCATTAGATAGGTGAGAATGTTTGACTGTGGTAAATGTAGAACTCTCAACGCTATAACGAGCTGGAGTTCTGACTACGGTTTGATCAGGATCAGGTGTTACCTTCCCATCATTTCAAGACCTTGCGCCCGCCATTGAGTCAAGAAAAGCCTGCAGGATTGGATGTGGGCTCACAGTGTCCAGATAAAGACACAGTGCAATACACGACATTGAAATGCTTCATTTGAATAAAACCCCAAACCGAAATTAAAGAAGTGTTCCCTCTAGAATGAGCCACTGACGTTTTCGAACCCCTTTGATAGCACGTGAGCTTAGTTCAGGACACAGCTAACTGCATAAGCTTCACGGTGAAGATTGCTTTAGTAGATCTGCGAATCTCTGAAACTCGCCCCCCCCCCCCCGCAAAGATTTAGAACGCAATTTTCCTCATTAACATCGGGCTCACTTTGATTGGGAAACTCTGATTATCCTGCGACAACTCATAGGAAGTATCGCATGGGGTGAGATGGAGGCGACGTGTACGCTCTGTTCGTGGTGCAGTGATATACGCCCTGTCATGTCTCAGAGGCGAAAACCCGGTGGAAATTGAGCGAATGTGATCTCAGTGACGGATGCCATTCGGAAGCAGAGCAGATAATTCACAACACTGGTGACCACAGCACGCTATTTTGCGATGTTTCGCAGGTTACCGGACCAATCCATATGCCTTGGATGTTACGGAGGATTTGTTTGCTACGCGGACTCGGCACTCCTCCAACATTAGCAATCACAGGCTAGTCGGCTTCACAAATAAGGTGAAGACATCATTGGCATGCTTATGGTTTATATTTTGTAGCATTTAGCTAGCAGTTGTCTGATCAACCATACTCGGTCACCGAATTTGGATTGATTGATGTCTGCCCCATGACTCTGCTTTCTGTAAACGCACTGGTGTGTTGCTGACCTTGGCATCAGTCGGTATCAGCCGGAGTTCAACTTATTTTTTGGTCCCCCACAGCGGTTCAGTCAGCAGGTATGCCGTACGCTCGGTGTCACGGGGCTGCTGTTATTCGACGCGTGTAGCTGGAGATTGGTGGGCTGAGGTAGCTGGCCCCTGGCTCACTCTCCCAGTTCTTTGGTTGTTTGTCATCGCAGACGCCCGCCAAGGTCGTTCACCATGCTCGAAACAGCGGCCAGCGGAACCCTCCCACGTGGGGAATGGAGTCGGAATCTCTCGACCACGAGCCTGGCGCCGTCGGTGGCGCTGCTACTGACGACCTCCGGCCGTGCCTGCCAGGTCCTGTCGAACCTCTGTGCTGTCCAATCTCGGCTGGTCGGCCAGAAGTTCGAGGTCAAGGTCAATGATGTCCGCTTTGTGGGGCACCCAATCTCCATCCAGGCCGACCACCGACGCACCTCCAACGAAGAGAACAAGTCTACCATCCACCTGTTCCACATCGTCTTCGCGCTGTGGGTCAGTGCCAACAGGTGATGGGATGGTAGGCGACAGGTGATGGGATGACAGGCGACAGGGACCGGCGGTGGGTCAGTGCCGATAGATGGTGGGATGACAGGCGTCAGGGACCGACCGCCAATGAGCCGACCGCAGCTCCAATTGTAATCCTAACAATTTGCACTTCTTGTTTGCCGACTTCAATCCAGCCCGACCACCGATGCTGCTGGGAGAGCCCGCGTCCTATGGTCGTTATGGTTGATGTTTGACTGTAGGTGACATGGGCCGGAAGGCGACGTTTGATAACAAATCACCGCGTTTCGACCTTAAAAATAGTAAGCTGCCGTTCATTGCTGCAGGACGTTTGTTGCCATGCGACTGGCAGGCTGTGGTGGACGCACGGTGACCAAAGGCCCGTCCTCAGCAGTCTGTCGCGCTGTTTGGTGCCATCCACGACAGACGTGACCTCATGGTATTGACAGGCGAAGGCGAACCACTCTGTGGTCAACTGCTACCACGACCTGAGCCGACGCGTGGGCATCGCCGTCTATCACGAGGAGAAGCGGTGCCGCTACATCACTAAGCAGGCTAAGATAATGTTAGGTGGGTCGAGCGCAGGAAGCGTTGGCTGACGGCATCGGTGTTCTAAGGGGCGCCACGGCTGGCCTAATAATCGGAAGCGGTGTGGAGCGCATTGAAAGGTACCTTAAACCATGTTTTGGAGAAACATTTTGCATTCGGCGCTGCATGTTAATGCACAGCAGGAAATTTGGTTTGGCAGCATCGCTGATATGGGCGGAGGGATTGCACCTCTTCTGAACAAACATTATAATTGGGATAGCTGTTCGCCATTGGAGACCGAAGCATTGTCATACCTCCTCGTGAGCTGTGCAAAGCGTCTCCTGACCCGCTAACCCGCACTGACTTATTTGCAGACCCTTTGACCTGCGCCCAGCCCAACTCCGAGCCCTGTGATCCGCGCCTAGTCCCACCTCCATGTCTTCTGATACGCTCTCAGCGCATCTGAAGACCCTCTGACCTACGCTCAGTCCTTCCTCCTGATCCTCTGACATGTCCTCAGGCCATCTCCTGGCGCTTTGACCCGCGCTCAGCTCATCTGCGGACCCTCTGACCAGCGTCAGGCCCAATCCTCAGACCCGAGACCCAAGCTCGATCCCCCCCCCCCCCTAGCCCCCGCTTGGCCCGGCCGTGTGACTCCCTGACCCCCCCCCCCCCCCTCTTCGCAGCCGTGCACGACGACTACGCCTCCCAGCCGGAGTCGAGCCGGGTCGAGTCGCCGTTCAGCCTGGTGCTGAACGCCAGCCATCTGGCCCGCGAGCTGAAGGCGGTCTACGACGGGTAGGCGGCGTCCGGAGAGTGCACGGCCACACGGAAACCCCGCCGCCGGGGCGAGGGCGGGCGGAGGGTAGAGCTTCGCGTTGTCCAGAAAAGTTGGAGTTTGTACCCGTTCGGGTGGGTTGGCGGTGGGAGTCAGCCTGACCGCCTTAAGTTTTTTCCAGATAAGCCTTCGAACGGTGCGGCATAGCTACGCCAAACTATGTATGGCTATACATAATTGAATAGCCGGCCTTTGACATAACAAATTAGAGGTACCTTTTAAGTGCGCTGACCTGGAGCAGGTCAAAATGGGGTCATGCTTGTCAGCGGTTGCAATTTTCAGGGAATCTTTCAAGCTGACTTGACATTTCAGTGTTCGGTGAAGTATTGCAACTTTAAGGTGGTTCCTCAGACAGTAATAAGATTGAAATTAAAATATAAAGTGATGCATTTGACCTGATTTTAAATTCAAAATAACATCGAACGTCGCTAGTCATATTGACCTCCCAAAAATGTGGCAGAGTCGTTGACCTGATATGACCCAGTGTGGCCTTTTTGTTTAAGCAGTGCATCTGGGCAAAATCTGGTTGCATGACAAAGTCTGGGGGCACTTTGGATGCCGTTCTCACGTTTGAGTAATTGGTCCTTGTTTGACTCCAAGGTCACGACGAAGAGACCTACAAATTTTATGCAAATTAGTTTGCATTCGGCCGTACCTACGCCGTGAATGTGGCGTCGCTAACCCTCTTAGTTTTGTGATACATCCGATGCTGTCAAACTGACCACACCCGCATCCGAGCTCGTCACATTCACCCGGCCAGCGAAAGGTGTTAAACGTGGCGTTTTTTGTGTCGTGCAGGGTCAAGGGGGTTTGACATGTCTCGGAATGGAAGGTCTCGCGGAAGCTAAGCGATTCTTGCTTGGATTTTAAAAGCGTCCTGTCAGCACGGGCTGACACAAAGTAAGCGGTCATCCGCTGTGTAGGTATGTGGTCATTTTGGCGGCGTTTGCCTTGCCTTTTCCCGCTGGCGCCCTACGTGCCTATAGCAGTTCCGCCCTGCCTACGACCACGGCGGCTCCCGGCCGGTTCTGCGTCAGTCCGCCCACGTGGCCTGTTTGTGCGCGCCCCGAGCGCTCAGCGTCCGAGTGGGTCGGACCTCTGGCGTCTGCGTCGATGCGTCGGTGCAGCCGGGCGTCCCACTGCCGCAGCCTGGTGCAGACCGGCACTGTCCAGCTGAGCATCGGGGGCTGGATCGATGTCAACTTTTGCCTGCCGCAGAAGATACACAAGCTGCACCTGGACGAGTGCACGGTCGAGGTGGGATGCCGGACTGGGAGCGGGCTCCCCGCAGTGGCAGATGCCGGACTGCGGACGGGCTCCCCGCAGTGACAGATGCCGGACTGTGGACGGGCTCCCCGCAGTGACAGACGCCGGACTGGGAGCGGGCTCCCCGCAGTGACAGACGCCGGACTGTGGACGGGCTCCCCGCAGTGGCAGGTGCCGGACTGGGAGCGGGCTCCCCGCAGTGGCAGATGCCGGACTGTGGACGGGCTCCCCGCAGTGGCAAATGCCGGACTGTGGACGGGCTCCCCGCAGTGGCAGACGCCGGACTGGGGGCGGGCTCCCCACAGTGGTAGCTGTGCTGTCGTTCTGGTCACGGTGCCAGCCAGTGTAGCAGCTCCGTGATCTGTAGTGAGCGTTGTTTTGCAGTAGGTCTGTGCAGTTAGGGGTGACAGCAGCTGGAGATCAGAACGGGTCTTTTGGAGCATTGTTGAGCGGGTGTGTGCCATCTTTTCACCGAAGACTCTGGTGTGCATCATCCAAAGCTGTCGCCGATCCTGATCAACGGCAGCCGTTACGCTTCCGGCTTTCTCAATGGCGCATGAAGTCCGCCTTAAATGTGCTGCCTATCTTGACTAGCGTTCTGTTTGTATCTTGTGCCTTCGTGCGTCGTACCATATTTCGTGTGACCTTGCGTTCTGCTGATCGGGGTAAGGTTATGTAGCCGGCATGCGGCCGGTGGAGTCGGCGCGCCTGACCTGCCGCCCGCCTCCCACCGTCAGCCGGAGGACATCTATCGGTGTCTAAGTCTGCTGAAGCCGTACCACACGCTGCTGCTGCTGGAGGACGAGCGCGACCTGCTGCCGTCGCTCAGCCCGGACGCGTCGCCGACGCTGCGCCGGCTGGTGCGCGTGGCCAACCCGGTGCGCAGCCTGCAGCACCTGGCCGCCGACGCCGACCTCACACTGCGGCACGTCTTCGAGGTCGGTGGAGGGCCGGCTGCGGCGACGCGTGCTCGGAGGCGACCCGCGGCCATGGCGGTGTCCACGGGGTGTATTGGGCCTTGCCGGGTGTGGGGTGTCGCTGGGATTTGGACGTTTCTTGATGTGCTTGGCGTCGGCCGGTGTTTTGTCACGTGTCTGAGGATGGCCCTAGGTTACGTGATCTGGTCCAGTCTGGTACAACACTCTGACAGCTGTCTGAGGTCATTAAAAAGTTGCTATAAATGGATATGAGTTAGGAAAAGTGATCACGGATTCTGTAACCTATTGATTAATTTCCCCGCACACGTACCCTAAAGCACGCTTTCGGTGTAAGCATAGCAGGCCTGGTTGCAAAGGTTCGCTTACTGTCTACGACGCAGCGCAATACTAGCACTACATGCGTAGGGCCTCACAATATGTGCCGCTCCGTCCATTCCGCCTCACAGTGCCTGCCGCTGTGCCTATCGCGGCCTTACAGTGCCTGATTGTTATGTCTGGACCTCGCGGCGCCGGCTATTTGGCCTTGCCACTTACCGCCGGCCGCTGCCCCCCGCCCCCCTCATCACCGCCAGGCCGTTGCCGTTTCAGCTGGTTAGTCAGCTGGTGTACTGGGCAAAGGCCACAATCATCTACCCACTGTGTGAGAAGAACGTGTACGTCATATCCCCGCACGCGCCCACCAACCTGTGAGTACCGGGCTGGGTAGAGGATGGAAGCTGTTCCTTGTCGGCCCGAAAAGTGACCAGAGGAGCATCCCTCAAGCTAGCATTTGTGAGCTAGCATTTGCCTTTGAGAGATGAAGTTATGGTTAATTTTAATCAGAGTTTGAAAGGAGTATCCCGCCTTTTTATGACCGACGATGCTGCAAAATGCCGCAACGGACAATGCCGATGACGCACCGGGCGGGCCGACATTGTTACATTTAGGGAGGTATCCCATCGTTTTTGTGCTTTTCACTTATTGTACATCAGATGCGTGCGAGCGGGATCAGTAACACCAGTTTTCTCGAAATCCTTCAGAATTGCTCAGAATTAGTTTTTGAGGTAGCCGGCCCTGCATGGGAAGTCTCTCTGCTCACCACCATGAAAGTGATGCATTTTATTTGCCCTGCTTTTTCCAAGCTGTGTGCTCAGTAATGTTTGCAACACACCCATGTGTCGAAGCGTTCGAGTAATACATTCTACGAAAGCTTGAAACGGTTTGTTCCGACGACAATATATGCGAACATGAAGCTTTTATCCCGCGAATTTAACGAAACGTTATACTATGGTTTTTGTTTTGTTTGCGTGCAAAATGCGGACAGTGTGTTTGCAGATGCTCCTCAAGACGTGCACACACGTCTCTAACTCACCGTTAATGCTGTGCCGACGTGTCCGTGACGCCGGCCTGGCCTCGTGCAGAACCTCCAAGCTGACGAGCGACTTCTCGGAGGAGTTTGCCGGCCAAAGCCTGCATCAGGTGCTGGCCGAGTACTCGCTGCCGTCGACGCTGAGTCAGAAGGTCACGCCGATCACAGCGCAGCAGCAGCAGGTCAGCAGGTCGAGCCGCCGACCTCAGCCCGTCGTTCGGCTCCCCTCACTCGCCTCCCGGCGGCCGTAAACATTCCGAGCAGAAGCGCACCCACTTAAAGTCTGCCGTGTGGGTTTGCCTCGAGTGTCAAAACCGCGGTGAGGCGTTGTTAGGGAGACATCACGGTATTTGCTTGTGGCAAAGTTTTTTTCTGGGACGGGATGCTCGTGGACTCGGGTGGCATCTCGGCGTGTTGGTACCCCAGCTTCCCGTCAGACCAATGCTCCTGCGGTCACTTACGAGCCCTCGTCTGGACACTCTAACGTGAGGGGCCCCCGTCCCGCAGCCGACCAAGGTGCAGGTGCTGGTGTGGCTGCTGCAGAGACGGCTGCTCATGCAGCTGCACGTCTACGTCTTCTTCACGCCCGCCACGAGGCTTCCCAGCACCGGTGGGTGGCGTCACATCCCTGCGATGTCGTAGCGGGACGCTGCTGACCTGAATCTCGCCGCAGTTCGGGGTCGTGTGACAACCGGCACGGCTGGCAGAGCTCCTGTCGGTTCGAAGAGCTACTGCGGTGGTGTGTTTTCCTCATCGCCCGGTGGCCGCGTGGTCTGCGGAGTTTGGCCCTGTATGTGACGGGACGACAAGCAGGTCTGCACGGCGACATTTGTGAACGAGTGCCGTAACTGCCGAGAACGGTCGCGCTCGAACTGCCGAGACCGGTCGCGCTCGAGCTGCCGAGAACGGTCGCGCTCGAACTGTCGAGAACTGTCGCGTCGGAATTGCCGAGACCGGTCGCTCCCGCGATACCTGCCATGACTTACACGTGCGGTGCCGTTTGCAGCGCCGACCAGCCGGCAGTCGACGCCGGACAGCATGACGACGACGGTCAACACGGCCTCGGACACGAGCTCAGGTCAGCGGTGCGGCGCGGACCGGCTGCCGCGTGGCGGAGGGCTTCGCCGCGGGCTCGGTTCAGCGGTCCGGACAGTAGCTCGCGACATCGCGGGTCGTGATCCTGTGTACTGCACCTCGGCGCACGGGACCTGTGACGGACGCCTGCTATCACACCGCCGCCCTCCCCACACCCTGTCGGCGCGCGCCAGGCGCTGCCCGTCGCCTGACACTTTGGGCCCCTGTCGGCAGTGGTGGACGGCGCCGTCCCCATGAGTCCCGTGCCGCTGGAGCACAGGGCGGATCTGCTGCTGAGCTCACTCACCGAGCCGGAGCGCGAGGCCGTGCTCAAAGTACCGGCCGCCAAGGACGTCGAGAAGCTCCGGCTCTTCGCCAAGTGAGTCTCCGCCGCCGCCCGGCCAGCCGTCGTACGCCAGGCTCCGCTGGCAGAGCCTGCGCGTGCCCGGCTGGGCCCGTGTAAGGCGCACGCGGCTGGCCGAAACGTCACGGGATTCAGGCAACGAGTGGGCGCTTATAAGGGAAGACGCTGTCGTGTGGGAGGGACCGGGCTCAGTGCATATCGGGTGGGGAAAGTCCTGCACTGGTGGCAGACTGATTGGTCATCATTGAGGGATTTCATTTCCGTTCGCACCTGTATTGTGTCATGCTCTTAGGTCGCTAGGGTTTCTGGCACTTTTTGTACAGGTCCCAAAAATATCCGTGATAAAATGCAATTGATGTAACTGAGCTGACCACGCATGTTGCTCTTTCTGCGCTTAGTTACCTTGATTTCCTTTCCCTTGATTTCTTTGCGGCGGTAACATTCGTAGGACAGCTGTGAAGTAACCGGCATCGGGCACGTCAGTGTAGTCCAGATTTTGAACGATCAATAGTTCGCCCTCTGTGCTCTAGCCGCCCAGGCTTATAAGAGACTACAAAATTCGATGAGTTTTGCTACGACCGTGGGGCCACATGGTCCCAGGCAACACTAAAAGGACACCGGATACCGAAAGAGATATTTCGATTACTTACCAAATGTGCATAATCTATCGTTATCTCAGATTTCAGTCTGTAACGAGCACCTACCAAAAAAGCTAACAGATCATTTACCATAAGATCAATAGGGTGCCAAATAAAATATGTTGTAGGTAAATGTGCGGCCAGTTGCGGCGTACTTTCGTGACTCGTTTGAAAACCTTCCTTTGACCAGGGCTTTTCCGCTTACTTTGCACCACTGACGCACAATTTTGGCTTTAGAATGATCTCTATGGGAGGCTACTACACAGTACACACACTTCTGTGATCACAGTGTTTTCGTTCGAAGCCTTATAACCCGACTAAAACACGCAAAAGTGACAATATCGGGTTGCCTGTTATTTGTTGCGGTACAAAATCCGGAATCTGAGTCATAATTTTTGGTCGCTCCAGGAAAAAAAATAAAAGATGGGAATTTTCTGGGTTAGTCTAATTTTTTTTCAACCGGGCCTGCCTTTCAAGAACGACTAGGCGTTAACTGTTTCCCTTATCTGTGGAGAGGGGGTTCTAACCTAGCCACCTCTCAAGGGCTTATCGTCGTTACCTCCTTGTAGTCGCGTGCAAGCTAAGTTCGAATGTTTCGTCTTGTGACGGTGTGTTCTTTTTGGTGCAGGCTGCTACGCTACTTTAATGGGATGTACCACCTGGAGGAGATCATGTACAGGGAGAACCTGCGACGCTCACAGATTCACCAGCTGCTAGAGGAGTTCCGCGACGTGCTTACCACGTGTCAGCGCGACGACGAGATGTCCTTTCACCACGGTTGACCGGCGGCAGTTGGCTTAACAGTGCGACTGGTCGGCGCGGTGATGTCTTCAGACGGCTGACGGGCGGAGCCGGGTCTGTGTGCTACAGCTGGCGGTCGGAGAGCAGACTTATCACGTGTGTGGACGTGACGTGCCATATGGAGTCGTATTGACGTGCCACGTGAGGGAGATGTGCAGTTGCCCCGTGGCTGGCTGGCGGGATGGTGTCTTTCTCAGGAACGCGATGCGGCGTAATGCTTGAGGCTGGTCGCGAACTGCGACCGTGCAATTATTGCTTAAGGATCCTGGAACCCATAAAGGTGTCCATAGGGAAGTGTTCTGTGCGCTGATTGAATAGCCTTGTGCAGATTCTGTGCTCGGCTGCCAGTGGTCATACCAAGGAGCTGCCTGGATGGCGACCGTTGCACGCGGACCCAATCGATAGGCTGCAAATGAAATGGATGCGCTCATGCTGCGAACGCTTGGAGAATGCAGTATTTGAACGTACATGTTCCTTTCCTTTGATAGATGGAACGAAATGTTTTTTTCTCATATACTTCGCTTACAGAGACATGACCCTTTTTACTTCATTTGAAAAGCCGCTTACGACATGCAACATCCGGTACATCATAAACCGGGTTCGGTCTATAATAATATGGGCGCCAATGACCACTGCAGTCGGCGCGCCCCTAAGCTCCAACAAACAACAGCAACAAAGTCTATAATAATAGCTTCACCCATCATCTCTGGTGATGGTCGCGCCTGAACACATCCAGAATACCTCCCAGAGTGCACTCGAAATGTATGTTCGCGCCACCTGCAACGGCTGCGTTTACGTGCTTTTGCGCCCAAAGGAAACCCGCGCGACAGCAGGCTCGGGCGCTGCGCGGTCCCTACGAATGCCGAGCGGTGTCATCGTCTAGAATGGATCTAACGCCGACTATGCTTACAAGGCCAGTACGCGTCCATTGTTCGTCATCGGGCGGTCCGCTCCAGCACCGATATTTTGGCACTCCCATGATTTCACATCTGTAGCCTGCGCCCTGGAGAATGCAGACCTGCATTCCACAACGGTCTTGGCGATGCACTGGAAGCTAAGGGTGTGCTTTATACGTGATATAAAGCGACATCTCACACAATGCTAAAGGTGTGATTTTCCATCTGCACCTGTCGTGTTGACGACACCAGTGTTTGGGGTTACCAGCTTTAGAACTGACATGTTGTGCTCTTTGCCGATGTGCTGATGCAACGGCGAAAATGATATATATGTTTATATATATAACGTCGAGATACGCTACAATACTGCGAACGTTAATGTTCATAATGACGTTCGAAGCCAGTCTGTGCACGACTGATGTTTAACTGAATTAAGTGTATGAAACGTTTTCTACTGAACATAGAGGAAAATGCGCATCGGGCCATCTATGATACGTTATTACGTTATTACTATTATTTATGATATAAGATATTTCATGGCTTATTAAGTTGTAATACTATGATAATTCAGCCGACTTACCACTTTTAAGGTCACTGTATACACAAGCCTTAGCATCGTGGAAGGTCTCAGTAATTTTGCAAGGCATTTGTGAGGCAAAGTAGCGCATACGATACATTTATGCACGTTTGTACGACGGACCACGACGGACGCACTCGATTCGATCGGCACGACTTCAAGTTTTGGAGATTTGTGTCCATATCCGGGATATACATAACAAACACATATTTAATATACCTGCAAAAATACGGCCTGTAGGTGTGCCTAAAGCTACATCTTGGTTTGGATACCTGCACAGATGTAGTTTAAGACATTTTGTAGATAATGTAGTGGTTTTGGACCTTTGACCTGTTACCTAGTAGTGCATTAATTTTTTACTAGCTAGAAACGCCAGCCATCGGTTGGCTGCTTTCAGATAGTACTTCATATTGTGCTGTCAATTTGCCTTGGCTTAGTGTGACACATACAAGCATGAGACTGAGAACATTAACATATAGGCAGTGCTACCATCAAAAGTCAAAATGCATAATTAGCAATGTCGTGATGGTTCAGGAGAGCATTTTTTGTGTTATTTGGTTGTCATGGTCGTAAATCAGAAGTGATAAGCAGAAACTGTGCACCAATCAGAAGGCAAAATACTTCTCTATGTAGCAATGCAAAAGTTAAAATGTCTTGTAACAAATGCAGCCTTAACTACCAATAACATTTTTTTACCCTGGAAGGTGGCATTGTAACATAACAGCCATCAAAGTAAAAAAGGTGTATCTGGGTAAAACTTCTGTCTGATAGTATGTGTTTCTGTCAATTGTTTAAAAGGTTTGGCAATCTCTCATATCTCAGCAAAAACAAGTATTCACACAGTCTGAATTTGTCATGCCCTTGCTAAGCATCCAACGGGTGATTGAACAGCTCTGTGGAACCAGAGAGGGATGTGTCATATTCATAACCAATTCAGGGCCAGGAAGTCTATGTAAAATTTAAACATCTGCTGGGTGGAGAGCACCAGGCATGGTGTCAGGCATGCCCATTGTGCATGACTTTGCAGATACAAGAATTTGCAGATACCCATTTTTGACACAGTACTGATGCTGATCGTCAGTGACAAAACCGGGTATGTAAGGGTTACCTGTTTTTAACCCTGAAAATGTAGTGCTTGGGAACAATTGAGGCTTGTGTTTTACAGATAGGTATCAGTTACTTGTTATTGTCTTTAGAAAACCTCACAGGCACTAATTTTACTTGAATCTACAACCACTTATATCCCTTTTAATCTGTTTAAAATTTTGAATGTACACTTCTCACTAGGCCAAAATATGCATCTTGTCAGGACAAATCTAGTGGTCCAATATCTTGACCTCTAGAAAAATGTTAGTTGCATTTTTCTGACTGGATGTTAGAGCTGGCATAGTGGTCAGATTTATAAGACCATATCACACAAATGGTGTTTATGTGTTAGATATGATAGTCATCCAGTTTTGTTTTTTACAGGAATGATGAATTAACACACTGGAATGATTTGAAGTGCATTTTCATGAGCATGTTTTCACAAGACAATTTTCTGAATGCTAATTTGGAAAGACCTGTTCAGAAGTGATGACTGCAAGAGATAACCTTTGGAACTCTCAAAGTGGGAGGTGCATTATATCATTGTCTGAGAAAGAATGCTCTGGCTTTCAATAATTGAAAACTAATTTGCACTCTGCAGTGTTTTTGTCACAGTATTTCATTGAAAGTGTGGCAGTAAAATCTTCAACCACTTATGCCCTTGACCTAAAAATGTGAGAAGTAACTGCATGAATGGTCCATTCACTGTTCTTTCTTCTGCTGATCACACCATGTGGTCATAAGGTGAACAGGCATTTGGAGCATGCATGCATTTTAGCTAAATTTAAAGTCAACAGATAGCATAGCATTATGTGGCAAAATGTGATAAAATGGTTGTACTATCACTTGATCATGCTTTTCTCCTACATGCCCATGTTGAGCACATAGTGCTGCAGAAATCTTGACATGCTATGGTGGAGTTGTGAATATTTGATTCAAGCAAGGATGTCTTGTCCTTATACAGGACCATATATTTTGATGCACAAATTCCCTTAAGACTGCATTGATATTTTTATAAGTCACATCAGTATGCACAGATATGGCATTTACAGCAGGTGTGCATGCATGCATGCACAAAATGCATGTGTGCATTAAAATGCATGCCTGCTGTGCATGCATGCATTTTAGCTATATTTTAATGCAAAATGTAACTGAAGCTTTTCATTGTTAACTTCAGTATGCAATCATCAGTCTGGTTCATGTGCCATCATTGACCTGTTCTCAGTACAACTGCAGAATGGATATAAACTCCAAGCCACGTATCCTTTGCCCAGTTTGTGTTCAATAACCATGGCAAAAGACAATGCACAGTGCTGGTGAGAAGGGTGACCTTTGACCTGGTGTGCTTTAGTTGTCTTGCTGTTTTAAAAAGTAGGGTGAAATGTTTTTGTGGTGTTTTTTTAAGTGCAATTTGGTGTATGTTGTCATGCCCCTTTTGTGAAGCACCATCAACAGCCTTGGCATTGGCCATATTAGTGCTCAC